CTCTCTGTGATCTTCTGGTCTCTAGATATGGCTCGGGTCCCTCCTACAATGTAAATCTGGTATTTTGTTCACCTGTTTTACGGTTCAGCGGGTGAAAATCATAAGCTTGATAAAGTAACAGCACCCCTCTCCTCAAAAACAGCATTATTTGAGCTGTAATTCAATGCACTTCCATTTAAATACTTATGATTATTGTCCGTCCACCTTATTTTTCAATGCGGAAGTAAGCCGTATTCTGTGAGTGTGCAAGACGTCCGGATCATTAGCCGCTGTAGGGAAATAATGAAAAGAATAACAAAATGCAGTAATTGGTAAAACTGAAAAAATCATTCCAACTGTAACGTTGCTCTGTGTCGTTATGAAGTTATCCACCTTATTCTTTCCATAAAAATGGGCACGGCCATTTGTACATTTTATGGGTCTTGCTTCTGGTCTAATTTGCTTCCAGCTATTTTTAGCTGTACAAAACGGCTTTCTGCTTGATATTGCAAATTGGTTTGTCTTACCATATTATCTTAGTGTATTATCTTAATTATGAACACAATGGTTTGTAGTGCAATCAGTTTTATACTGCACATTCTTCTCGTTATTTCCCTATAGTGGCTACAATGAACCGGAAGTCTCACCCATCGCGATTAGGAATAAGGTGGATAGTTGTGGTCTTTTAAATTTAGAGTCATTTTTAAATCTTTAATGTTATCGTCCTTATTGTGAACGGGCCTCAAAAAACCGCATTCAAATTCATACCACTGGCACAAGCACCACAGATGAATTAGTCCGTTTTTAATTATTCCATTTTCAATTTGTAATTATTTTCAAATTTGTATGCAAATCCCCGATGTGTCGATTTATGATGTTTCTATTAATGTGAGTCGCCTACCGTAAATTCACATTCAAAAGAACCAAAAGCTGCTTAACTGTGGTTGTTTTATGACAGAGGAAGTGGAACCTAATCCTATTTTGATTTGCATGTCAAGGTGCAAAGATAACAAAGAAGAAAAAGAAGATTTCATGACAAGCACATAATGATCGAGAACAGTGGTACAGCGAGAACAATTGTA